TTTAAAGGAAAATGGGAGGCATAGGAACATCATTATAGGAGGTGTGTGTGGGGGGGAGGGTATATTTAGTTTGAAGAGTTCCCAGGTAACTCATACATTCCTCTGCAGCAATACGGCTTCTGAACAAGATTCAGTAATTTAAGCACAGAAGTTTGAGCTCTTCCTAAACCAGCTACATTTTAAATACAACTTGAAAGTCTTTACACCTAAACCTTGGGGAGGGAAAAAGAAAAAGACCTTATCATTTGGATGTTACAAGGAAAGAAGAAAATGGCTAAGCAATTACCTGTGCCTCCATTTTCCCATTCTAGTTTTAATAGTTTCATTTCTCACTTGGGAATTCTTTTACTTTCCATTAATGTTAATGGCTCCTTCAAGATCAGAACTTAGCTGTACTAGCCCCCTGTTTAAGAGGTATGTGGAGGTGCTTGTTAGGTCCTAGGGTTTACCCAAATAGCATGAATCTTAAACTACAGACAGAAATCTTATCTGTAAGCAGCTACTGTCCCTTTTTATAGTTAGAATTCATTAAAAGATTTGGGCCCTGTATTCATACTAAAAAATGAAATAATACATGGATATTAGAAAGTAAAATGTTTAGAGATTTTAAAAAAGCAAATAGTGGCTTTCGGAATCATCAGCTTTTAGGGAAAAATTAGGAAGGGGCTTCAGAAGGTTCAGAATTCTCTTTTATATCAATAAGGAATTGGCAGGTACTGTCTTAATCCTGGACAGGATTTACTTAAGTGTTGGGGAAGCATAAGGGAAAAATGGTTTTACTGAGCTATTTTTAAAATTTTTGCACCGTATATCTTAGAGATGGAATGCTTTTATAGAGAGGAACTTGCTATTTGAGAACAAATCTTTGAGGATCATGATGGATCAGTCAATTAATGGTATAGAGATAGGAGGCTCACCTCTTAAAAAAGCAAATTTGACTCCTATATCACACAATATAAAGTTGATGACTTAAATGTAAAAAGTGTTTTGTAGTGCTTGAGGAAAATACAGGTAAATTGTATAACTACTGACATTAGTAAGTCATCTAAAAACCTAACACCAGAAGCCAAAATCATCATAAACCTCTCTAGTAAAATTCACCACAAAAAATTAAAATAGATATTTTTCTCTCATATATAAGTCAGGTTGGGGAAGTGTTTGAAAAATATATATCTAACAAAGAATTTTCTTTTTTAAAAAGATTTTATTTATTTATTTGACAGAGAGAGAGAGAGTACAAGCAGGGGGAGGGAGAAGCAGGCTCCTGCCGAGCAGAGAGCATGACGTGGGGCTCGATCCCAGGACCCTGGGATCATGACCTCAGCCAAAGGCAGATGCTTAACCGACTGAGCCACCCAGATGCCCCTAACAAAGAATTTTCTTAATTTATAATGAAATTTCACAAATAAATAGGAAATAAAAATGGAAAAAAATGAAAATCTTTATGCTAAAGTGTTAAATAGGCATTTCATACATGCAAAAGAATAACCAGTGAAATGAAAATGTTGAAAATCAGTAGCAACATGAAAAGATGCATTATAGGGGTGCCTGGGTGGTTTAGTTGGTTAAGCGACAGACTCTTGGTTTCGGCTTAGGTCACGATCTCAAGGTGGTGGGATTGAGCCCTGTGTTGGACTCCATGCTGAGCATGTGGAGTCTGCTTCGGACCCCCCCCCCCTTTGCCCCTCCCCCCACTTGCTTGCACACTCTCTCTCTCTCCAAAATGCATAAAGTCTTTAAAAAGAAAAAAAAAGATACATTATAAAAAATGATATGTAATTTACATCCTTTTTGACAAAGGACAAATAGTTTGGTAATGCCATATGTTATCGGAGGTATGGGCAGAAATATACTCTTATACACAGCTTGTGGGGTATGCATTGATACCCTTAAGAACATTCAATTCTATTGGCATTGAAAGTTTGCATACAGAATTTATTGTAAAGATAAAAGTAAATCAATGATAAAGATGCATGTACAAAGATATTATTTTATATCCAAAATGTTAAGTTCCATGGGAGCCCAGAATTAGTCTATTTTATTCTGTTCTATGAAAATTATCTAGAACAGTGTCTGACACATGGTAGGTACTTAATAAGTACTTATTTTTGTTGTACTTGTTTGTAATAATGATAAAAAGCAATTTAATGTGGGGTGGCTGTGTGGCTCAGTCAGTTTTAAGCATCTGACTCTTAATTTTGACTCAGGTCATGATCTTGGGGTCATGAGATCAAGCCCCATGTCAGGCTCCGTGCTCAGTGGGGAGTCTGCTTGAGATTCTCTGTCCCTCTTCCTCTGTCCCTACCCCTGTACACGTGTTCTCTCTCTCTAAATAAATAAATCAATAAATAAAATCTTTTTTAAAAAAGCAATTTAATGTGTAAAAATATAGAAATGGTTATATAAATTAGGATACATTCAAGAAATAAACTTTTATGCAGTTATTTATTTATTTATTTTTAAAATTTTGTTTATTTAGTTGACAGAGAGAGACACAGTGAGAGAGGGAACACAAGCAGGGGGAGTGGGAGAGGGAGAAGCAGGCTCTCCGCTGAGCAGGGAGCCTGATGCGGGGCTTGATCCCAGGACCCTGGGACCATGACCTGAACCAAAGGCAGATGCTTAATGACTGAGCCACCCGGGCACCCCTTTTATGCAGTTATTTAAAAGAAAGATAGGAAAAGTGTGTTATGCAAGGACTTTTATTTTATATTATATATGTACATATATCATTTAAAAAGCAGGTAATTTAACATTATGTTCAGTATAGTCTCATGTTTCTAAGTGTTTTAAAATGGTGTACATTGAAAGGTTAGCTGTGGTGAGATATCATGTAATATTATTTTTTCTAATGTCATATTGTTACGTGTTACTTGCCAAATAAAATAATAAAATGAATTAGTGAAAAATTCATGTGAATAATTCTCCACAGTTTATGGAACACATTTCATACTGATTAATATTGCTAAAGGCTTCTGTGATCTTACTCCCATTGTCCTTTGCATTTTAATCAACTACTTTCTCTTCGTGTACCCTTTGTTTCAGGCAACCTGAGCCCCTAACTTATCTACAAAGATAACTTCATTCTATTATGTCTATTTTAACATTGCTTCAAATATTTTCTTTTTCTGAAAAGACCTTACCTTTTATTTCTGTTAAAATTCTTTTATTTGTCCAAGATGTCTTAATAATAAAATCTTCAATTTTTGAACACATAATTTTTAATTTAAATTATTTTCATTCCTCTATTTTGTATCGCTCTTGTGGCATTTAACTCTTTACATATTATATTTCTGTTTTCTAAACATGTAATTTTCACTATAGAATACGTTTTTTGATGATATGGACTAATGTCTTATTTATCACTTTACACCGTATAATGCAGAGCAAAACACCTTGAGTAGAGCAGATGATTTTTTTGAATTACTGAGCTGAGATGTCAGAAAAAAGTTCGAATACAGTCTTACTCCTATAGAAGAAAAAAAAGGAAAAAAGATAATGTTTATAAGGTAGCTTAAAGTTCTAAAGGGAAAGTTCAAAATATTTGGCAAGTTTTTATTTCGCTTACAAAATAAGAGTTTATGTATATATTCTTAAATTTAACTAATTCAAGTATAGAGCGTTGGAATGAGGGATATTTTTAAACCATTGTTTTATTCATTCTGGGTCATTGTTTTCTGTCATTTTACGGCAATTAATATATGTCACTGATCTTATCAGATCACACATGCAGGAATCAGAGCAAATGTGATTTTGAAGCTCTCCTGAGTAAGAGATTTGGACTGATATATGCCCGCAGAAGTTTTTGTGATTTTCTCTAACTTCCAAATATCTGAAATCTTTCAGAGCTGATCCATCTGAGAATTTAAGACCAGAAAGTTTAGATAAGCATCTTAGGAATTATGACTATGTTTTCTCAAATGTGGCAGGTGTGCAGCACTTTATTTTGGCTTTCATACAGAATCTTAATCCATGCAGGAAGTATGCCACTTTATCTGTCTCAGTCATTAGTTCTACTGACACCACTAAGTTGGGAGATCCAAATTGCAATCACGGATAGCACACACCTGTTTAACACTTAACAGCTCTTGTCATGGTGGTCATTTAAAAAGAAGGTGGTTTTAAATGCATCCTTGTTTTCCTGGGCAAGTCATTGTGGGGTAGGCACATTTCCTCACCGAGACACTTGTCTGACCTTGCTTCTGTGGCCATCGAGTCCTTCCACTCTGCCATTAGCAAGCAGTCGTTCAGCTGTGAGGTCCCTGTTGCCTCGGCTGGACCCTCAAAGCACTCTGAACTTAGAGTACTCAGATGCCCCAGGACTGGCTATTTTTATTTCTGTTTTTCCCAAGAATGGCCAAGTAGGTATGTGTTAGACTTGAGTTTATGAAAGAGCCGAAGCAAAGCAGCCTGTTCCACAGTGAAAAACAGGGAAGTCTCACTATGAGTTGCCCCAACTCTCTGAGCTGGGGATGAGCTGTGCTGATTTATTTTGAAAGGGTTTTTGCTCAGATCTCATTACAGTGCTTAAGAGGCTGCCCCAACTGTCCTCAGGTATGAACAGGAGAATAAACTACAGCCCAGGGAGAGGGTTGAGCACAGATGTCCTATTGATATAGGGCCTTTTTCTTTATTATCAACAGCAACAACAATAATAGCAACCGTCACCATCACAAAAAACAAAGATATTTTCTATTTTTGCTTATACCCACAATGCATGTCTAGTCAGGTTGCCCATTTGCCTGGAGAACACCACTAAACTGCTTTCAGACCATTTTTTTTCATGTCACTCATATGATTATGTTGTAATGTTGCAGATGTGATCATGGATATTTAAAAAATACAGTTGAATTGTATTGTAATTTGCTTTTTTCCCCTCGGTTTTCAAAGCTCAGGCACTTTAACAGTTTACAAAAATATTTTAGGGTTTCATTTTTTTCCAGATTAAGACAATGTATGCCTATAGCATTATTTAAGAAAATGGTGTTTTTCTCTTTCAGACTCATTATCAGAGAGCTGAATTCTAAATCAGAGACTGCGGAGGAGAGATGTGCAACCTGAATAAAACATTTCCAGAAGAGCCTGAATAATGGTCCTGAATAAAGGGAACTGAAATGTTCTTGAATTATAATTGGGAAAATTTTAAGTGTGTGTACTCAGGAACACATGTACTAAGAAGAGGTTAGTTATTATTATTCTTTGTGCTATTTAACATTTATGGGGCCCCCAAAGTATTTTTAGTTCTGAATTGAACAGAAGTGGTCTGATAAGTGAGCTCCCAACTAAATTAGCCATGTGGAGATTCACCTGTAATCATTCTCTGGGTGGAGAGAGGCAGTGTTGATAAACTACTCCTGAATAAGTGGACTGTTTATACAGCCATAGAGTCTAACTCACAGCAAAATAAAATAATTAGTTCAGACAAATATGGCCTTTAAAAATATCACTTGACCCTTTTTTTCTTTTACCTAATTTCTCTGTGGCAGGGCATTCAGAAATTAGCAAACACATTTGTTGGGTTGATACAAGTTTACTGAGAAATTGGAGAAGGAAGTAAAGATGGAAAGATGAGGAAGACTAAAGATTAGGGTCAATCTCTGACTCCAACAGCTTTATGCTCCACAGGTAAGTAATCTAATATTGTTTCTTCTTTGTCTCATATCAACAATATAGAATAAAGAGTGATGGCGACTTTTGAGAAACTGCCTCTGATACTTAATTCTGAAAAGCTATGGTAGAAAAATTTCTGAAACAGTAAATATTATAGCCCAGAGGAAATTAAAAAATAAGAATGCTTAATCCTATGATAATTGAATACTAGATAGAGTTGAGAAAGGTAGATATGTGAGCTGTGATAGAATCTATAAGAATGAATACATGCTTCTAGATGTAAATTTCTGTGCCTGTTACTTAATAGGCACAAAAGTAAAAAGTGGTCCTACCACCTAAGAAGAAACCAAACATCCACCCGTAATTATAATATAGGGGACACTTTGAATTCTAAGCTAAGAAATATAGACTTTATTCTCTAGCCATTGGGGAGCTGTTGAAAATATTTGAGCAGGTGAGTGGCATGTCCAGAACTGTGTTTTATGAAGATTAACCTGATGGCATTTTCAGGATTGATTAGCATGAAGCCTGTATTGTGACAGAACAGATTGTGGTAATGCAAGTCTGAAATATGGTGGTGGCAATGAGAATAGAAAGGAAGAAATTGATTTGAAAGATCCATGACAGTGGACTACAGGACTTGATTATTAAATATGTGACCTGCAGTAGGGAGATGTCAGTGATGACTCCAGATACTTTGAGACTGGATGAGAAACCAAGTATGGAAGTTTCAGAAAGAATGTCCTGACTTTCAATGGTTTATTATTATCTCTTAGATGCTGTGAGTCATGTAATCGATTACATTCTAAAAATCTTGGGCCCAAATCCATGTTCCACATCTACTAAGCATGCTGTGTCATCCTGCCATTTATTTTTTGCACAGTCATGCATTGCCAACCATAGGTATGACATTACTAAGAAGTATAGCATGTGGGAAAACTATAGTTGACTACACCAAGAGAATGCAGAGAAATTTCATTTAATGTATTTTTAAAAATTTAACTTCAGTAAATAAAAATTTTAGTAAAAATCCACTTCCAAAATAGACCAGATCATTGAGTTAGAAATCTTTTGTAAATTTATCTATCTCACTGAAACCAACACTAAACACACACACACACACACACACACACACAGGTAACTTTTCTCTGAGATCACTGTTAGTTGTTCAGGAAATATTGCTGAAGTGGTGTAATGTGCTAGGGCAGATTCTTTTAGAATTTTTATATTATGCAATGTGCATTTCATTTTAAAGAGTTCAAACCACCCCTTACTGACTCGAAAGTTAATGTATCTCACACTTACATTCTCCTTTGCATTTTTAGCAAGTTTCAGCCGAGTGCTTATTTAACTGCTTCACATGTTCACAAATTGCCAAGATCCTGAAGGACATGTATTTCTACTCTTCTCTCCACATATTAAAGCATACGGGTTTTAAATAGATGCCTTATACTTGAAGCATCCCCTAGACTCATTTAAATGGTTCAGAAAACTGGTAAAGTAATAATTCCAGTAGACTCTTTTGCTTAAAGGGATTGGGACTATTCTTTGTGGAAATATATGTGTGCCATTTAAAAATTTTATTCATAGGGGTGCCTGGGTGTCTCAGTCATTAAGCGTCTGCCTTTGGCTCGGGTCGTGATCCCAGGGTCCTGGGATCGAGCCCCGCATCAGGCTCCCTGCTCGATGGGAAGGCTGCTTCTCCTCTCCCACTCCCCCAGCTTGTGTTCCCTCTCTCACTGTGTCTCTCTCTATCAAATAAATAAATAAAATCTTTAAAAAAATAAAAAAATATAAATTTTATTCATATGTAATTATTCTGCAGAAAAACAAAAACATGATTGGTAAAACCACAGTTAGTAAGGCATTTTACTAATTTCATTTGTGATTTTAAATATATTCCACTTTTATTTTCCTCTTTTTAAATTTCTTGTCTTTAAAACTTTATTTTCTTTAACAATATGTGTTTTCATTCTCAAACTGTAGAGGTATCATGGTGGTACAAAAAGCCAGAGGATAAATGTCACTATCTTTATGGAAAGTATGAAAATGTTACTCTAATTTTTGGGGAGAGGTTCTAGCAGTAAAATAAAGCTTTAGCAGTAAAATAAACATTTACTGTTGTTTTTGTGTGTAGGCAGCATTCACAGGAATTTAAGTGATAAACTCAAAATTTCAAAAGGATGTAAGGTTTGGAATAGGCAGCTTTATACTCTGCCCATGTTTCTGGAGGACTTGCTCACAAAGTGATGTGAGCTTCGTGGCCAAGACTTCCAAGTATTAGGATCAGACAAATTTGTTTGTGTTCTGATTCCATTATTAACTAGCTGGGAGGCCTTGGTATTTATTTAATTTCTGTAAATGTTAGCTTCATTGTCTGTAAAATAGGAGTATTACTATACTATGTGGTTACAAAGATGAAATAAGATATTGAGTGTAAAATACTTAGTACACCCTGTCACATGATTGGTGGTTCACCTATGTTGCTTGTATTAATTCGCACCTGCTATTAGCATTATATGGTGCTCGTAAGAGAAGATACCTGTTTGATATTGTGAATTTTAAACACCTTCCTAGGGCACCTCATAAGTTGGACAGTTGTTTTTCTGTTCATTGCTGTGTCAACTTTGTGTTTTTTCCTTCATTACCCCATACATCTCTACATTGTCATTGTGATTTAATAATCTGGTTGCCTTTGTTACTACAAGGAAAGTGTGGCTTCCTGAGTACTCGTTCTGGGAGTGGATATGGATCTCCCAGTATACACTAAGTGGGGATAGGTTTGTGTAAAATCATATCTAAACCTAAAATTCAAATATTGTTCATTACAAATTTTATTTGTATATTTCCAACTTGACTGAAAACCAAAATACTTTATCAACTTGATAAAGTATGGAGAGTGATCCTGGGGATTGTCTGGGTTTCTCTCCTTCAACACAGGCTTAATTTTGGAAGTGTGTGTGTGTGTGTGTGTGTGTGTGTGTGTAAACAAAGTTGTTTAAAATCACCAGTTAACATATTCTCCTTGTCAAAGATCAGAGTTAATGAATGCTTGGCTCTTTAAGGTTAAAGTATTTTGAACATTTTGAGGATTTCTTATATGTGGAAAGATTTGGAGTTGTCCTTCATTCATAGGTGGGTGTGAGATTATCTGAGGAGCTGTGTCCTTCTCAGACCGGGACTCTTTGAGTGTGGGTTCTCAAAACGCAGGGAATTAACCACTGCTAGGACATGAGCTAATTTTAGGTAGGAGAAAAACAAACACTTTTTAACTTTAATAGCTGAGATTTTTAATTTAAGTGTGGGGTAGTAAAATAACAGCTAGTGAAATAAACCAGAGATTTCATGAGATAACTGGAATTAGTGTGAAATCAAATAGGTAGTGTCAGTAGCAAATATCTGTATTCTTTTCTCATGATACATGACATGTCTTATAAGGATTTGGCCAGAATTATGAAGATATTATATAAATGATTGAAGTTTTGTTAAAACTGCCCTTAAAAGGGAAAAAAAATCAGGTGAATCATGTATTTTTCACTCCATCTTATTTCAGTGATGGATACTGAGCATTTTGTGCTTTCACCACCAATGAACAAGGGTGAATGCATTAGACTAATATCTTCCAATGGAGAGAATATAAGCAACTTTGTATGTACTGTCTGCTAATGCATTTCTTTTGCTTACTTTGGTTTAAGGTAACACAGCAACTCGTTTTAAATTGTACATTGTGAAGAAAGCCGATCAGTTTTAAGTAGGGTTCGTATTCCACGTTAGAAAATTTAAATATCCAGAGAACACATATTGGTTAAATCTGTGGGCACATTTTTTCGTTGACTTGTACATTCAACCAATACTGATTAAGCTTCTATTTTCTCTTTGAATTAACTATAATATACTTATTACAATATTCATTTTTTAAAATTTTACTTTAATTTTTGTTGATATCAGGAAAAAGAAAGCACTCACACTTATTTGTTAGGTAAAATTATCATAGATTTTATTATTTTTCTTGTTGTAAGAATCTAAAGCAGTGTTTTGCAAGTATTAGGTCATGCACCATCTTAAGAAGTCTCCTGAGATACCTTCCAAAATGTAAGTTCTCTACAGGTGGGGTCTGGAAGTCCATAACTGTAATGAGTTCTTAAGGGATTTCTATTTGTACTTCAAAGATTGGGAGCCACTGAAGAAAAGAGTACGGACTGAATATAGCATTTGTGCAGAATTCTACATATAGATAGATGTTAAGCACACTCCTTAAATAATTAATAAATATGGTTCTATAATTGGAAGAATAGCTGATTGGTTTTATTCTTCTTTCATTCTCAACTCCCCTCTTTTCCTTTCCCTTTCTCCTTCTTGCTTCAAACCCCCTCCAAAGGCAACCACACATAGGTCCCTAACTCCTTAACTAAGACTACTTTGAAAAAGTTGATTCCTCCACTATTATCTTTATATACTCTTGGAGACCACCCAAGTACAATGTTTCAATTTCATTTCCTTTTCAAAAATGCTTAAGAAGTGAACAATGCACATACAATGCTCTCAATCTAGAAGCTGAAAAATAAAGTGCCTTGTTTCAGAGAATGCTGTGGCTTGAATAGGTGACTGTGCTTTAAGATATTTTCATTGATTCATTTGATTCACTTTCTGTTGAGCTGATCACAAATTGCCAGAGCAATTGTCAGTTTCAGGATAATAATATTACTACTTCTAGCTGTACCTTGGTGAGGAAAAAAAAAATAAAGGGAAAGTTAAACACATCTTGTTCTAATGCAGAGATGAATAGCACTGAAAGAGCCCCATTGTGGTGCTTCTGGCATTGGTCAACAAAGCTGAAAAGCAACATGGGACAAACAAGGAAAAATGGGGCAATGTTCCCATAAATTCAAAATTAAGTTCCTTCTTCAATTTCCGTGAAGCAAACTCCCCGTGGTGAACATCTGGCAGGCCATTAACTTTTGTTACTTTATTTTATTAAAAAATCTTAAGGTGAGAGAAATTTCTCCATTTGGAAA